CTCTCAATCACACACACACACACACACACACACACACACACACACACACACACACACACACACACACACACACTCTGTCTGTCTTTTTCGTCTTGCCTTTTTAGTGCTGTTTCCTAAGGCTAACATCACTATTGCTTACATTCAGGATTAGGGCAGGGCAACAATTGTGAAAATATAAAAAAAAATCTCATAGACTTACATAAACTCAAGATATATGAAGGGACCAGGATAGTATGGAGATTTGGTCCAGTAGGTAACTACTTAAGAATGTCCTAGCAACCACATAGAAATGGGCTAAAATTCACTCAGAATTAGTTAGCAACCATGTATAAACTCTGAAATCCAAATATATATATATAAACCTATATGTAAACCTTTGCACCCTAGCATCATGGTGGCAGCTTTTGTACTGGTAAGCACCACTCACATTTTCTTCAGAATGCAACTACCTAGCAATGAACTAGCAACCACATATTAACTGTAGCCACACAGAAATGTTAAAATTCACTAAAAACCTCTTAGTAACCATATAATGATGATTTGTTGATTTTTGTATAGTTAAGTGCCACTCTTTTCTACGATTTGTGTTATGGTGAATGCACTCAAATTTTCTTCTCAATGCAACTACTAAGCGACCACATAACAATATTATTATAACCACATTACAATACATTGTGTTACTGCCTAAAAACTTACTGCGTTACTAACTGCATAAAAACTAACTAATTGTGTTACTTACATTTATAGAAAGTAATGTATTATGTTGCTTTTGCGTTACTTTTTCTCATCTGGGATGGGCTTATAAAAAAATATATATTGCTTATTAGTATAGTTGAATTGGATAATTGAAGATCAGCACCAAAGACATTGGTTAATAAAATGGGATTAAATACATAAAGGATATTTAATATTTTAATTATTGCAGTTTGCATCATATTCTCAGTTGGCATTTTAATGATTTTATATTGTTTTAATGTTTTTAATGTTTTATAATTCTGAATCTTTTATACAAGTGAGATGAGTAAATGTATGTTCACATTTAGTCTAGAACAACAGTAACCATCATGTTCATACAGCACACACAACACCTCTGCACTTACTCCTGATTTCTCTCAACATGGGGACAGGAGAGCTGTCAATAGGTAAAAACAAAGTTATTGGTGTTACTTAGAAAAAGTAACTCAGATATTTAAATAGAAAAAGTAAATTAAAAAGTAATGCACTACTTTACTAGTTACTAGAAAAAAGTAATCTGATTATGTAACTTGTAATGCGTTACCCCCAACATTGCTTGCAACCGCATAGAAACATGTTAAATTTCACTCAGAACTTCTTAGAAACCTTAAAGCAACACTCTGGCAGCCTCCCACAACAGCCTAGCTTTGTGGTTGTGACTTTTTTATATGAAAGCACCATTTTCTTCAGAATGCATCCACCTACAGTTGCAACACACTGAAAATGACTTGGAACCCCTTAGCAACCAACTTAGCGTCGTAGTGGTGTCTTTAGTATGAGCAAGCACCACCCAAAATACTAAAAATATTTCCCATTTTTCTTAATTTTCTGTCTTTTTGATGTATTTCTTCAAGATTTTTGAAATTCTCCTCTCAGCATATTGGATGGCTTCATTGCGATGTGTGTCGGTCTGTGTGTGTCTGTGTGAACGGTGCTTAAGACTCTCGCCTGGCTTGTGTATTGATCTCAGTGGGGCTCTGGCGAGCCACAGCACTGGTTACTGTCAATAACGTAAAGCACATCAGCTAACATCCCAAGCCAGTCAATGCTAAAAAAAGCCTCTGCATTATGTAGCTCCCAGCTACCAGGCGAGAATACAGCTGTATTGATTATAATGATGTTAATCATACCGATTCACATGGCTGCTGTCATTTCAGAGCATCATTAAATGAAATGAGATGGTGAGTTTATGAGTGTTTGTGTTTGTCTGTTTGTATAGGTCATGTTGGATGGCGGTTGTGTTGGAGGAAGACTGAGCGGCCCATCAAGATCTGCTCCAGACAGACCTGTGAAGGTAAACGGTTAATCCGAGATGCCTAAAAATGTATTTAAGATGCCTATGAACATGCTTTTATTTCATTCTGAACCAAACAAAGACAATGTTACTTAATATTTGTGTTTATAAGCTCACATAGATTTAACTCCACACAGCTAAATAAAACAGGCTGGGTGCAGATTAATATTTCTGAAATAAATATTTCTGTGAAACACGTTATGATGCAGAGAAGAAAGTTCAATCTAGAACCTGCCCTGTACAGTTTTAGAATCGGTACTGCTAAAGCAGCAGCGGACTATTATTTTGTTGAACAGAACAGAGGAACAACTAATGACGTCACAGGTTCAGATTTGGTTGACCAATCGGGGGAAAGGGGCGTCCCATGACCATCCACATGTGGAAAACAAAAAAGTAGTTTATCCATTTTCTACTTTTTAAATTTCAAATTGAAAAACAAACTATCAAAACATACACAGACCAAAAACATTTTACATTTAAGTATGTTCTTAACCTTGGACTATTGCTATAAAAACCACAATTGTCCCTTACACCGTGTCCACACCAGACGCGAGCGGTGCGGCGTGATGCGACAGAATACAATAGAACCCATTATAATCAGTGATGCTGTCTACACTGTATGCGGCACGGCGCGACACGACAAATCCCCGATAGTAAACTGCTGCCTCGTTCTATCTATAACGTACTGACACAAAATTCAAATGATTTGCAACGGTTGCTTTGTCGCGTCCAGTGTTGACAGACTTTAGCTGTTGCGGTGCGGCGTGACAACTGTTGTATCCGGTGTAAACACGGTGTTATTTTTCTTTTCTGAAGTTGCCAAGCCTAGCCACACCCCTGTTGAACTGTTGGAATCAATTGAGTCAACACTTCAATCTAATGAAAAAGGGATATTTTACTTAATTGTTTTAGTTCTATGCATTTATAAGCTAATTAGAGTATGCTAAGCTAGCATTAACATTTGGTGTGTCCCAAATTGCATACTTATGCACTATTCTATGATATTTTGTTGTATAAATAGTGCGGGTAGTGTGTTCACACGGAAAATTCCAAAAAGAAAAAGTGCACTTTAAATACCTGGATGATGCACTTAAATAACTGAAAAAAATGAAGTCTGGAATGTTGGACACTTCATGCACTCAACTGTCACAGCTTTAAAGGGTTAGTTCACCCCAAAATGAATATTCTGTCATTAATTACTCACCCACGTGTTGTTCGAAAGCCGTAAGACCTTCGTTCATCTTCGGAACACAATTTAAGATATTTTTGATTAAATATGAGGGCTCGCTGGCCCTCCCATAGACAGCAAGGTAACTACCACGTTCAAGGTCCAGAAAAGTACCAAGAAGATCGACAAAGTAGTCCGTGTGACATCAGTGGTTCAACTGTAAAGTTATGAAGAAATAACAACTTTATTCCACATTGTCGTCTCTACTGCGTCACTTGTGGACGCGCGTTCACGACAGTATCATGACGCGAGTGTGTGGTGGCGCTGATCCAGATCCAGCTTAATGACGTCATCACGCCGGATCTGGGTCAGCGCCGGCGCCGCCACACGCTCGCCACATACAGTTGAACCACTGATGTCACACGGACTACTTTGTCGATCATCTATGGGAGGGTCAGAGAGCCCTCAAATTTCATAAAAAATATCTTAAATTGTGTTTCGAAGATGAACGAAGGTCTTACGGGTTTGGAGCAACACGAGGGTGAGTAATTAATGACAGAATTTTCATTTTTGGGTGAACTAACCCTTTAACTACGTAGCGAAGGGGGAGGGGCTATCAGACTCCGATTATGAATAAAAAAACCTTATATACTTCATACTCTACATGGTTGAATACAGTGCATAAGTACATAGTGTATAAGTGCATAGTGTAGAGTGCGTCATTTTGGACGCAGCTATTAAACTCTTTTGGAATAAATTGAATCGAGATTTCAACCTAATAAAAAAGGACTATTTGCTTAATTTTTCTGTGCTTTGCATTTGTAAGCTAACTAGAGTGTGCTAAGTTAACATTAAACTGTTGGAATCACTTGAGCCAGGATTTCAATCTAATGAAAACTGTTTTACGTGATATTTATCTGTGCATTTTTAAGATCACTAGAGTATGCTAAACTAGAAACATGCTAATATAAACTGTTGTTATCGCTCAGCATCAAATGTTAAATGTTAAAAAAATTGACTATGTTACCTAATATTTGTATGCTACAGTATATGTTGTATGCCTATTAGAGTGCTGTTAGCTTATCAAAATGCTAACATCAAACTCTTTTGTATAAATCAGTTGTGAAAGTTTTTGTGTGAAGAACAATGCTTCTGTGGAGCACAAAGTTGCTAATACTAATTAATTGTATTTCTAAATAACTGTTCATGAAAATTAATGACAAACGTTTGTCTTTTTTATAACACACATACTGGTAAAAAATGTATAGCCTGAATGCACTGTAAGTCGCTTTGGATAAAAGCGTCTGCTAAATGCATAAATTATTATTTATTATTATTTGGTAGTTTGATAATTATCTGGGAGATTCGGAAGATGAAGAGGAAAATGCTGACACTACAGGTGTTTATTTCTCTAAAACATGACAAATTCAAACACATGACACTTTACACAGAGTCCGATTATGTAGATGTAGGCCTAGATGCATATTTGGGGTCTCTATTTACATTTTTACAAATTCTTTTCTCATGTAAAGCACATCGTTGAGAATTCTTGTCATCATTTTCATATTTGACAACAGCTTCAAATGGAATCTGATCTATCACAAATTCATATAAAATTCACATAATACACATTGACATATTGGCATCACCTGTATGGATGTATTTTAAAATGGGAATAGCGAGGCATGCTGGCATAAATATTCTTTTCATGTGCATATGTAAGAATTGCATGGGCTCACCTTGCTTTTAATAGGGTTTAGTTGATATCATGTGCATGCTATTTTTTGTAATTAGAGCTGTCATACAGCTTGATTTAAATATATTACCATTTATTACACATATTCAATGCATGCAAATTCCTAACCGCTCCCTCATCATTAGAGCCGGGGGCAAGCGCTCCCTTGGAGAGGCTTAATGCTTGCTGTGCAGGCTTGTAATGAGTCACTCTTTTCTGTTGTGCCAGAGAGGCTCATTTAAACTCCAATGACCAGTTTAATACAAAATAAATAAAATAGTTGGAGGAAAGAAAGCCTCTTTTGATTGGAGAGGCTTACTGTTCAGAGCAGGGCTTCCGTGTTTTTTGATTGTGCTTGTCTGTGATCAGAGTGTTAATTCAGAGGAAAGGGTGTATGTAAAAGTCATTAGGTGGTGTGTTTATAATGGCAGTCATATCCACTGAATAACAACAAGGTGCATGCTGAACTTGAAGTTAATTAGCATGAATAATCATGCCTCTGCCTGTTGGGGATGGTAAAAATATCCTTTGCTGGAAGACAGCAGGTCGCTGTACCATTAGTTGTTGTTGGCATTCTTGTTCTAATGTTGTAGGTGTTTGGTGTCATAACTTTTGAAAATCTAACAGTAGAATAAGCTTAAGATTTGTAAGAATTGCTTAATTTAATTAAACTTTTCCCCCCCAGTTGTTGGGTGCTGCGAGTTTGCTAACTGAATAAAATGATGGCAAAACAAAAACACAAAAAGAGTAAAAAAAAATTGCTTTTTTTCTTCAAAAAATGAAATAAAAGTAAAATCAGGAATTGGCATTAAAAAAAATAACAATAAATTGTCCACTACACTTTAAACAAAAACTACATATAATTACAGAGAAATAGGGTTCAGTGACACACTGGCGTTCAGCATTCCACATGAATCTTAAAATGGGTCGAGGGTAAGCCGGTTCTGCTCAAAGCAGATCAAGGCTCAAGAAGAGCTACCAGGTGTCTGGTTTTAATGAAACATGCCTCAGCGCACTGGTCAGGGAGGTTCACAGCACGGCATTACAGCAACAGCCTTCAGATTCATTAGCGGCGTGAAGCTTCTTCTTGTATTTCTTTAGTGAGCTGGTTAATGGTCTTGTTTTTGAGACCTTGAAGGCTGTGGGTGTGTGGGGATTCTTCACTCACACACACATATGGTGTTTGTATACACTCAAACAAACACGCAGAAATGCACGCTACACCCTCAGATGCTTGGTTCTCACCCAGCAGCTGAGACTATGACTTTCACTGTGCCAGTAATTAGCTGTTTAATTAAGATCAGCATCAGTTGAGCTCTTGCCAGGCCTGATGTCTTTCTCTCAGACACATAGACTACTGCAAAATCCACCGAGATACAGGACGTAAACAGCTTATTAGCAGACCAATCCTTCCTTTATGACATAAAGTGTAAGTTCACTCAAAATGTACTTATTCTGATGTAGTTTCAAACTCATGACACTTTATTTTTTATGTAGAACGCAACAAATGTTTTGCTGAATGCCCGAGTTGCTCTTTTCTAGAAGGCTCTAAGCTTCCAAATCTAATTTAGGCTTCTGTTCAAATATATAGAACATATGAACTCAGTCACAAGATGTGTGAAGCAATGTTTTGACATAATTTGTATCACATCTGCCGCGACATGTCTTGATGCCATTCTTTTTTGAATTTGCACAAGCACAAAAAAAATATATAAAATTGCAGAAAAAAACTGACATTTGTTTGTGTATAAGTAAACTTTTATACTACACATGACAAAAGTTTTTTTTTCTAGTGTGCACATAAAAGTTTACATCTGCAAAAGAAATTATGCTTAAAAAGCTTTTTTGAAACAAAATTTTAGTTGTCAAAATAAAGTAAAACGTACTTTTTGTAAAAAAAATAAAATATATATTTTTAACAATATCCTTGTCAAAAGAAGGAAAATTGTGATTTTTTTGTGTGCATGTAAAAGTTTTTCTACTTTTATGTTTTGCACAAGACACTTCACTTTATGATATTTACAGTGTTAATTGCTAAAAAATATTAGCAAAATTGTCAAAATTATATAAAAAAATTGCTCACCTATGCTGAGACTTTCACTTGCTCACAAGAAACTGAAATTAGAACGTTTTTGTGCATACACAAAAGTCTCAGGGTTTATGTATTTATTTTTGCAAATTTGATTTTTTCACTTAAAAAAATAACTAGAATTTTCTTTTTCTCACAAAAAAAGGAAAAACAAAAACACAAAACGAAAAAAAATAGCTTTCAAATTATACATTTATTTATTATTATTAGTAAAGTAAAACAAACGTGATAACAGGAACTGGCAGAAAAATCTCTAAATTGTCCACCACACTTTGAACAAAAACTACATATAATTACATAGAAATGTATTTCATTTTCATAATTTCAATTAATTATAGATGGTCTGGTTTATCTCCCAAATCTTTGCCTATGCTGAGACTTTTGCTTGCTCACAAAAAACAGCTAAAATTTTTCTTGTGCATACACAAACGTCTCAGTGTTTATTTATTTTTTGCCAATTTAACCTTTTTCCACTTTATGATTTGTAGCCAAAAAAATAACTAGAATTTTCTAATTCTCACAAAAAAATATTGAATGACTTCAGAAGACAGAATATTGTCTATAAGTCATATTTTTTTTGTTTTTATTGGAGCTTGACAAACATCCACTTTCATGATATAGTAACCAGCAACACAGACATTCTTCGAAATATCTTCTTTTGTGTATCACGGGAAGAAAGAAAGAGTTTCGAACAACAAGAGGGTGAGTCAATAATAACAGTATTATATATATTTAATAGGGACAATATTCATTAATCAACAGTCAGGTATTGTAAATAAGCCAGAGTTAGCCAAATAGACTAATTTTCATTTGTTGCCCCTTGACAGATTGAAAGACAGAAACCTAAAAATTATCACAAATAACAATCATAATTGTTCACAGTTAATACAATGCATCAATGCACTAAAACCAGACAATTGAAACATATCCATGACTAACTAATTGTACAGAGAAGAAAACATGAACAGATTTTAGCATACATCTAAACCGTATAATACCATATCAACAGATGAATGCATAAACAGCACCGAAAATAATAATGAGAGTGTCAGAGATAAGATGATTTATTTACACATTCACTGTAAAAGAAGAAACAGTTTGTAAATTAATGCTGATGGACTCTTTTGCGCAAAGGATGCTGGTTATTCATGTGTGTCTTGTTGTGTTGTCAGGCACATGTACACTGCCAGGTGAGATTGAAGAAGATCTGATAGCTGTCTCCTCCACACGCTGCTGGAGACCTCCTCTACTTTCACAGACCAGAAGACACACACTCCCTGTGCAGCTGAGAATCAGGTACACACACACACACACACACACACAGGTTTTCATTTGTGAAAAGTGGGGACATCCCATAGGCGTAATGGTTTTTATACTGTACAGACCGCATATTCTATTGCCCTTTAACAACCCTACCCCTAAACCTACCCCTTACAGGAGACTTTGTGCTATTTCAGATTTTCAATACACTCCATTCTGTGTGATTTATAAGCGTTTTGAAAAGTGGGGACATGAGGTAATGTCCTGAAAAGTCACCTTCTCCTTGTAATACCTATGTCATACCTTTGTCATTATACAAATTTATGTCCTCATTTGTCACAAAAACGCACACACACACACACACACACACACACACACACACACACCAATGTGTCTCTCTGAGAGCAGTCAAGCTTGGGAAGTATCTCAGGGAGATGAGATGAGATGCACTTTTCTGTTGCATTTCACAGAGACTGTGTAAAATCCTTCATTAAACCTTTTTTTTAATTATTATTATTCTAGGATGAAAGCGAGGAGGTCGTTCTTTTCCATCTGGATGAGAACTTTGATTATGATAATGTTGTGCTGTCTCGCAAATACGCCATCCAGGAACATAATGGCAGACCATCTTGAGCTGTAAATGAATGTAACTCTGGCAAATGCCTTTAAAAACTCTGATTTTACGGAGTAAAGTCCTTGTTAACATAATATAAATGTTTTTATTTCGCCAAAGAAATAGAAGGAAAACAGATTGGCTGTTTTGAGTGTTAATTCTGCAGTTTGTAGAATCTGTACTACTTAGTGTCTGTGTTCTCAAAGACATGATTAAATTTAATACACTCAGTCAAATTAAAATTTTACTGACAATTAGATTAGATGACCAGTACCATGCTAGAAACTAGAAAATAGACATGAAACGGGGTCCACAACCCATTGTTCTTCCACAAAAAGACTTCTGAAAGAAGACAAAATTGCTTTGAAGTAAAAGAAAATAGTCAATCTTAATTTTATTTCGACTGTTAAAGTACTTTGCATAAACTAAACAAATGTTGCATGTTTGTCTTGTAGTCCAAATCAAATGTCATTATGATTATTATTGTTGTTATTATTTTACGACGCTTTCATTTTCTGACTCAACAGCTCAAATAGGTGACCTGTGGCGTAACTCTTTTTCTGATGTATTTGGAAAAGTAATTAATTGCTCATTTTGTCTTACTGTGTTTCATTCACTGGAACAAAATGCTCAGGGACCTTTTATTCTGTTCTACGTAAAAACCTCATAACCTGAATAAAAGGCCAAAATATGTTGGTTTTTGAAAATAATCTGTCCCTCTTTTTCTTGACATGATAGTTTATTTATTTTGACATTTCAGAGAAAGTCCGTAAGTAACGTAAAATAATTTTCTTGCTGTTTCCCAGCTTCTTCATATTTTCTCCAGCCCTACCTTAATTTCCCACTGTTTCTGTCCTTTTTCTTTGTACTCTGTGACCCAGAGTTTCCAATGCAACACAAATAGTACTCTTCAACACTTTACAGTTACTTTACCTGTACTTAAACATAATAAGAGAAATGTTATTTTCCCAAACTTTGTGAGCGGCCTGTGGAGGGAGTGTTTTAATCAGAATCAGAGCTTTATTGCCAAGTGTGTTTGCACACTCAAGGAATTCATCTTGGTGTCAGGAGCTTCCAGTACAGAAAGTACAAACATAGTGCAGACATACATATAATTTAAGATAATTAAAAAAACCCCACTAATAATAAAGAGAAAGACAATAAATTATAAATAACAATGCAGTAATAAAATATAGAGAAAAAGAAGATGTCAATAGACAGAATTGTGAATGTGCATATGTGCTATTTACAGATGAAAGTTTTGATGAGTTACTTACAGATATACAGTCCTTTTAAAGCATTTAAATGTTTTTGCCTCCTTTGTACTTTATATATTTAAAAGTATATTTATGACCATTAATAAAGTCTTAAGAAATACATACTGATCATGGACTGCTGCCTATATGTAGAGCTTTTAAATCATGCATGTGTCAAATCATTCCGTGACTGTTAGGATTTTCCATCAGAAGGCACTGTTTATGTAGTTAGCTGACATTGAGGCAGCACGCTAGGTTTTAGAATAGAGCTAAAGTGTCCTTATTTAAAGTGCCCTCTGTTTCTGCGGCCATGCATTTTTAATGTCTGCTTCTGCCACGGTGAGTATTTAGTGGACATAGGGGATGAATCGAGCCTCAAGAGACCTTTTCAGTGCACTTTGAAGAGCTTAACTGTTTTTTAAAGTTAACATGATTGTCAATTTATAGCCGACAGAAAAGCTTTTTTAAGTTGTTATGGAATGCTTATCATTTTTGCAATTTATGGACTAAATAAAAAAAAAATAGCAGCACTGAACAGCATGAGCGTGAGTAAATAATGAGAATTTATGGATGAACTTTCTCTTTTAAAGACTACAAACACTCAGTTTCTACTTCGGTCCTGAACAATATGTAACCAAATAAATGTTTTATACACTGGAACAATAAGTGTTTATTGCGCACTTTGTTTTATCCTCCATCCCTTGATTTGCAAAATCAGCTTAAAGCATATTCTGTGACTTGGCCTCCTTGTTGCTAAGCAATAGCAGAGCAGTGAAAATGAGCATTTGGAAGATCACAGACCACTGCGACGCCAGCACTTTATCTTGGCTCAAACCAAGCCTGCAGCTCTGCATCTGTTCACGATTCGTTTCAGTTGCACTCAGACCTCGTCCAAAAAGATTTCTGATGTGTGTGTGTGTGAGACTTTTTCCAGGCAGGGTTCGAGTGGCCTACCAGGTGGATGCTCCTGTTTGCCAGGTGGGGTTCCCACTGTAACAACCTCAACTCTTTCAGTTAGAGAAACCAGAGAGATAGCAGACGCGATAAAGAGGGTAACCCCGATCCCTCCCCCGCAATATGAGACAGGTGCGTGAAAACAAAAAAAAAAGGTTTTGTGGGGCACCAACAGTCTCTTCCAGGTGATAAAAGTAAGAAAGCGGTTAAGAAGATGTTTCTTCAAACTGTTGCTGTGCTGCAGGCTGCCTGCCAGATTCATGGGGCTTTTTGAAAGCCTGTTCTACATCCTCAAAAATGCAAAGCTCAATCATATCTCTAATAGCTCATTAATAGCTTTGATTATCCATTAATTAAATTAAGGATTTATCAAGGACACGCTCGTCCACACATAATAAGGAATTGAGGCGAATGAAGAAAGAAACTTTCTTTGGGATAAAGCAACTTGTCTTTAGCCAGTGCTAGTCGTGAAGATTGAACAATGGCTGAGTTTTATATGTTAGAGTTTAATATATTTGGGGATTGTAATAATTGTGATTTTCTTTCACACTCAGAAATTTATTTATTTTCACTCAGAAATTGCTAGTAAATGACAAGTAACATTTATATATATATATTTTATACCATTTTTTGGATAACCAATATGATACCGGTATAATATGCATCCCTTGACTTGACTTAATACAAAAATATCCAAATATATAATGAAAAATCAAAATCAATAAAATAAAATTACAAAATCAATAATATGAAATTTTATAATATATACAATTGTATATTGTTATTTTAATATATTATATATTAATATATAAAACATTTTTATGATTTAAATGTATGTATTTTATATTTTTGTGTGAAAAAAAAAATGTTTTTTTATTTTTTTTTTGAAAAAAAAAAAAAAAAAAAAAAAAAAAAAATATATATATATATATAAAAAATGAAATAGAGTATTTCATTGTGTGTGTGTGTGTGTGTGTGTGTGTGTGTGTATTAAAAAAAATTAGAATATTTCAGAATAGCTTATATATATATATAATTTTTTTTGTATTTTTCTGCTTTAAAATATGTCATCGGCTCTTTCTCTTTCTTTTTTTTAAATCTAGAACAAAATCAAATTTAGGCTATATTATTATTGATTAAGATCAGTTTACATAAGCCGGACAAAAAATGTTGTGCTGCAGAAAGAAACAATGATTGTCATGATTATGATTTTTTATATATATATATATATATATATGTATATATATTTAGAACATGCATTGATGAATCATGCAAGAACAGGAATCAGGGACATTTCTTAATATAGTAAAAAATAGGCCAATTTTATTTTCACATTGTCTTTTAAAGCAATTTCTTTTTAACACGGGTGAGAAGAACTAAGTGTGGCATTACCTTCCATGACCCCCAAGAGATTGATTTTCCCGAATCATTGAGCATATGCTAATTTACTAGCTTGTCCAGTCAGTATCACAACCAGCATCCAGTAACTGTTGCTTTAATTGAACATGTCAATCATTTCTAAATTGCTCGAGCAAATCGGACCCAGCGAGCCTTTCCGCACTCTGCATTTTCTTTGGTTTTAACTTTTATTTCTGAGTGCCTGTGTTCTCCCCCTGATTAAAGCTGTCGTTCAGCATCCTCTTGAGTGTTCTTGGCAGCAGTATGTGTTTTTTGAGTGAGACATGGGCTATATTCTTTCAGCGTTTCTCTCCTGAGGGTGTCACTGTTGTGTTGCTTGTTGGTCTCAAGAATGTTCTTGTCTGTCTTCCAGGAGCATCATCTGCAGTGTTGAGCCCAACCAAGTAAACCACAACACACATTGCATACATAAATCTGCATAAAGAGAACATATATATACTGACTTTCTACACTTAAAATGACCAGTCATTTTTAATGAAACCATTTTTCATTAAATTTAAATGTAAAACAACTGCATTAGCAGTCATTTTAATTAGTTTTCTTGAGTTACAGGTGCTTTCCAAGGTCTACGCTGTACAAAAACATTGCAAATATTGTAAATAAAAAGTTTTACAGGAGGTTTTCTTCTTCAAAATTTAATTTAATTCAGTGTGTCACTTGCCATTTCTTAGTAACTCTTTGTGAAATTTATTAGCAATTTCTGAGTGAAAATTGTTTCCAAATCAGATTTTTTTTCAGAGTACAGTACCTACAATATACACCTAATTTTCAATTTGAAAGTAAGCTATTTCCTGTGAATGTACAAGACTTCATATTCATTAGCTGTTAAATAACTAAAGGAATAATAAAGTGCAGTAAACGGTAAAACTATTTCTGTCAGGACCACTATCGTCAAAATGGTTTGGTGGTATGGTTCTGTTCTGGGCAAAAACCTCCATGCCCATCCATGCAGCCTGTCATGAATGAGCAGGGCGAGCAGCAATAATAATAACAGAACAAGGCAGATATCATTAATGTACTTAATGATATTTAAGTGTAACACTTTATTCAAGATAAAGGAGTCTGATTAGCAAGGAATATCAGAAAGCCAAGTCCTGACTGTGGCGAAAGGAGGAACTGGGGATGGAGGAGGGTAATTTGCTCAGGGGCAAGCTGAAAAGATGCTGAATAATATTGAATAGAGCTTATATAGAAATGCCGCGATAGGTGTCGTATTCCTATAGGTAGATGTGATCAGCTGAGAATCAGCTGATGCAAGCTTGACTCACGTGACCTGCCAGAACTAACGCTAACGCTTAATTTGTGCTACAAATCAGGGTATTAATGATTACTGTAATAAATAAAAATAATATGATAACAAATACTGGTTTGCACTATTAAGTACCATAACAGATTGTTTTATACATCTAAAATAACTGGAAGCAGCTTACACTTCATTCAAGTTAAAAATGGCTGCACCCGCTCTTACATTAAAAATAAAGTGGATAATAGCTAGAGAAAGCTGACCATTAGCATTCCCATTCATCTCAATGGAAGTTGCAAAATACATGATTTAAAACTCTGACATTTGGCAACGTTGATACCTTAACCTTGTGTTTTCAGTATACAGTGGGTACAGCAAAGGGTCTGAATATTTAGGACCATGTGATATTTCAGTTTTTTTTTTTTAATAAATCTGCAAAAATGTCAACAATTCTGTGTTTTTCTGTCAATATGGGGTGCTGTGTGTACATTAATGAGGAAAAAAAATTAACTTAAATGATTTTAGCAAATGGCTGCAATATAACAAAGAGTGAAAAATTTAAGGGGGTCTGAATACTTTCCGTACCCACTGTATATAATCATATGAGCAATCCCTGCATCAGGTAGATGCTAACTAGGAAAAACATGCTGCGTTTCTGAGTGAGGTGATTACTATAGATATTGTATTCCATATTAAAAGTGTTTGCTAATGAAACTAGCAAAAATAAATAAAATGTCTCTTTCATTTGGGGAAAAAAAACAGCTAAAACAAGCTGGAATTGATTGTGTGAGGGAATTGTTTTTCGTGTCACTAAGTATATTGTTCTTTGACCACATAAAAGCTAAATGCCATTTGATTGGCTATCGAAGGTCAGTCTTTTTAGTTTTCAGTGTTTGGCGCCAGAAGTTGTGCATGATGTTCCATTGACAATGAACCGGTTATCGTGTAGCATGTAAAACAACCTTAACTGTAAACTGTAAACTACTGTAAAATGAAGCTTTTCTGGTCTTAGTTTTGCTAAGCTGTTGAAAATCAACCATCCTGGGCTAATCAGGTCAGTACAGAAGGCTTTAAAATTTGTGCCGCCCAACAAATCCATATAATGTATAAATGCTTCCTCTGGGGCCTTGACTAGCGTTCAGTGCCCTTGATGAATCGTACCATTGCAGAACATATGGAGTACACCTCGGGAAAATCTGCTGGCAGGAGCTTATTCGTCTGAAAATTCACTCCGATAAGGCGGCCGGCTAGTGGGCAGCCCGGTAGCACTGCTGGAACATTAATTCAGACAGATGCAGACACCAAAGGTTCAATTCCCCTCTATTTTCTGCCTTATTCTTCCACAGAGCTGAAGGATGTGGAGCCTGCTGGGTATGGAATGGTCGACATTTGCAACCATGCGCCGGATGAAATCACATTTAGATGCTAATTACTTACATACCGAAGGGTGCTGGTTGTCTGTACATGTATATGCCAGTGTTGGGGAGTTACTAAAAGAGTCAGAAACTTAAAGGAATAGTTCACTCCAAACTGAATATTCAAAATCATGTTGTTCTAAATTGTCGCTATATTCACTTTTGGACGACCTATTGCTTTAAGTTAATTTTTAATAGCAGGGCAGCAGATGTTATGTATTTTCTAGTAACAGACCAACAAAGCAACTTGGAAAACTTGTCAGACTGATACTGGATGACAAAGTAGCCGTCTAAACATCATACACTAGACAGTTGAGTACATAGTTTGAGTTTAAGTGTATATTATTGTACACACAACTTCTGTTTTAGTGAATTGAATTGTTAATTTCAATGAACTGATTTAAATAGATTCATTTTACCGTACCTCTTTTTAAGTAAATAAATATAGTTATACTCTGTTTATACTGCTGATTCTAATTCAGGGTATTTTATTTGCTCTTTAAAAGACCAAATATACTCAAAATCAACCTTTTACATTCATAACGATTGATTGGTGCACATTTTTGCGATGAAGTCTTAATCTAATGAAAATAAATAGCTATTTAGCCACTGTAAGCAAAGGTTAGCATGTTTATTTCAGCTCCATTCTGTTATGGAATGCTCACTTTCGACTATCTAATCAATTCTGGATGTGTAAAATCAGGTTTAAATCTGAATCTTCTGAGGTAGGGTGATTTCAGTGAGGCTAGCAATAGCAAGCTAGCTTTGAAAGCATAAGATCCCACCCACCCTGCAAACCACTCTCCAAAGCCATGGCTCTCCTGAAATACATGAACGCGCACAGGCAGACCAGAGGCTAACCAGTGATATGATGAGAGGTGGCATATATTATTACAATAATAATGCCTTCTGTTCTTGCTCGGTCTGCAATAGCGCAATGGAACATTCTGACATCACGTCTGCGCAAACAAGCTGTGCGAAGGACAGGCAGGTAGGACAGCCTATCGTAGCCTTCGGACAGAGGGATATGATTGGACAAACATTTTATGGTCTTACGCCTTCACAGACGATATAAATACATTTAGACCACTTAACTTAATGATTGCTATCGGGATGTGAAGAGAACTTCAACCACATAACAAAAATGTTTTTGAACCAAATCACCTACCCTGCCTTTGAAACCCAAAACAAGTCCACATTTTTGAAATTCAGGTTCCATTGTCCCAAAATCAAAGTGGTTTTTAAATGGTTTTTTGGTTAAATGCCCGAAATAAGGTCTGTGGTTAGCACAAGCTCAAGATATTTTCATGTATTAAAACACATAATACACATCAGTAATGCCCCTTGTGTGTGTGTGTGTGTGTTTAAAGCTTTTACTTGCCTTGATAAAGGTGGTTGCTAACAAATGGCTAAATGAGACTACAGAGGTTATGGGGGACATTAAACATCATCACATTAAACAGGTCAACTCATCTACTCACACAGCCTTGTTGTGTTTATAATCACACTCTTACAAACTATAATAACTCAAACTTTACAACTTGTAGATCTTAAATAAAGATTGAAAGAGTTGTCACAAGCAACCATGTCATGAGACCATGTTTTAATTTCCCTTACGAAAATTAACCATGGTTGTAGTAAGTAGGTTTTTGGCATATTGACCACCATTTGTATAACCACAGTTTTACTACAAATGCCATGGTTACACTATGGTTAATGTAGCAAAACCATGGTTAATTTGTGGTTACCATGGTTTAACTAGTAACCATGTTTTTTATTTGTAGTAAAACCATGGTTCATTTTTGTAAGGGTTGTTTATTGTGTAATTAAGCTTGTTACTTCTCTGACTGTATTTAGGGTTCAGCATTCATAAAAGTTGTTCATTTGTGAAAATTATCACGATGAACAAAAAAATGTGTTAGTAAGAGAGCTAATTTTCTGCAATAATCCAAAAGCCAATGGAAAAATTCTATTAGCGTTTTCTTGAAGAAACCAGGGTGATGCTGAACCCAGGTGAACTTCCGGGTTGGCCTACAAAAATACATCATCCCTGCAACACTCTACTAGTGCGAACAAGAGCACTGTGCCTTGTGCTATAATAAGACCAAAGCATCTTGAGAAGTAAGAAAAGTATCAGCACACAGGGATTGTGTACTGTTTTGACTTTCACGCCTTTGCCAATCTGCCACCATGAATAAATAATCTGTCAGGAACGTCAGGGAAGACAAAACTGGCCTGTTCTCAAGGTTGAGTGCACTGCTGAACGGCGATATTGAGGGCCTTGGAAGAACAATGACTAAATTAACAGTGCAGCCTTTGAGTATTCCAGTTTTTTTTTCATCTTCTCCTCACTGCATTATTGCAGTAATGGCTCTTGGTGCCAAAGCTCTTGATGGATTCCTGTGGGAAAGCTTATATTAATGGAACGGCGGTGCTGAGATTTATGCTGGTTTCCTTTCATCAGGTTTTACAGTGAAGGAAAACAGAAGTTAACACTGTCTGTGTGTTATTCGATTGTATTCCACCATACGCGTCTCCACGCCTGTGTGCAGCACTCAGGTTGCATTGATTTGCAACAGGCGAAATCACGGCGAAATAAAAGCCTTTGGTAATAAAGCATCATGCCGCAGGGGAGAGAGCGAGTGAGCGAAAGAGAGACGAGAGATAGAGGAGTGGAAGGGTTGATGATCTCCAAAGCAGTTTATGTAAATTCTCTCTCATCCCCCTCAGGGTTGGCAGTCACCTTGCCAAGGCCCAGTTAGGCAGCGTTGGCCTGGCCGCCTTCATGCGGCCGCCTTCCACAGTTGGAAAGAGAGCGACATGGGGGCTCAGCACCTCCGTGAGCTGGGATTTGGTGCCGGATCAGTCCTCGTGAGCTGGGGGAATGCGCCACGGAGCATGTGGCGAACTTCCGAAACTCACTCTTTCCGTTGTTCTCGCCACTTCCTCACAGTCTCAAAGTGAAGGGATGACTTTGGGGAAACCGTAAAACTTTTGAGTTTGGGATAAAAACAGACTATGTAATCTTGAAGAACCATGCAAAAGCACATCAAAATAAATCCTGTAAAAGATCAATTCTCTGTGGCATTTACTCAGTGGCTATGGGACAGTCTCGCATCTCCATCCTAAAGAAAACACAAAGTGCTTTTTGGTTTTTCGTTGGTTTATTGATCTGTTTCGACCAAATGTAACTTTAATGAAGTAAGACCAATGAAATATGGGCTTCTGAAGTGTCTTAGCATTTGTCATTTTTGCAGGTTTTAAATTTGAAAAGATGAGTAGTAATTTATGACAAATGATGCAAATATAAAATGAAGACTGACTCATATCAGTGACGTAGATAAAGCCATTTTATTTTACATCATGGAATGACTTAATATTTACCAGTGTATTTTCTTTGCCATTTTGTGTAATGTTGTTGAAGAAAAGCAACAAAGCTTAGTAGAAAATGCTCTGTAGCAGCACTAGAATGATAAAATAGGTAGTTAAAGAATCGATTACATTTATGCTCATCCTTTGCTCTTCCTTTTTTGAACTAGTGCTGAAAAGCTTACTGTTCTTGTCTGTGATAAAGAAAGAAATCTAAAATTGCCTAATCATGCATCATAATTTTGGCTTAAATGTGGTGGTGCATAATTTTAAACGATAAAGACCGTTAGATATGCGGAACATACAAACTCCAGAAAAATTTCCAGAGAAGATCAGCAGGTTGTGTATGTATAATTCATAAACACAAACCAAGGGGTTAAGATCTGGCTAATTAGCATGATCTAGGTAGATGCTGTAACTACATCATCAGAAAAAAAACAGACCCCCCCCCCCCCCCCCCCTAAAAAAACCCCCAAAACCATAGATTCCCATTGACGTTTATTCATAATTAGAAATAGCAAGCAATATATACATCAATATTGCAAATATTTGGTTATATTAAGTGGATGATTTTCTTGCAAAACATAGCATGTATTTAAACAAACACATTCGTAGTCATTATAAATAAGATGAACATCTTGTACACCTTTCTATATTATCTTTCTATTGTCTTTCATTTTCTTCTTGCTGTTTCAGGGTTACAAATCCCACTTATTCATGTCACAATTATTAAACAGCATACTGTCTGTTACGGTCCTCATGAAAGAAAAGGGCAGAAAAATTGCATCCAGTTTAGTGATATGTATCACCTGCATATATAATCTCTCGGGTCCCTAACGGTGAGTCGAGGGGCGCCGTAGCGCACAGGAAATGAGAGCAGGTTCTTTTTCATTTCCCTACTTCAGCAGTCCCCTCCTCCAAACTCAATGCAGGCCGTGTTCAGCCCGGCCCTTCGATTAGATCTCGCTGTTCTGGTCCCAGCGAAGTGGGACCGACTCTGTAATCACATATCTAATCTGTGTCATATATTTTATATGTGTATGTAATATCTGTTGGTAAATGCCAGGCTCACAGACTGCATGATTGAGATCCAGGACGAGAGGACACCCCGGTGATTGATTCCTGCCCTCGCTATGGCGACTGAATGATTGGACGAGATGATTGACAGTTGAGGGGTTTTAAATGGGCTGGACCTGAATGATGGGAGAATGGGAGGGATGAAATTGCATCAGTCTGGGAGAAAGATGAAGAGAGAATAACAATACATACTCTCCTCTTTGTGTTTATATCATTTATTCTTCTTTCCCCCCTCTTTCTTTCCTTAATTAACTGGCTGTTTCTCTTGTTCTCCCACATGGTATCCAATAGTGTGGAGAATGAGATGTTCCTCATCTAGTTAAGTAAATATACAATACTCAAGTCCCTCGTCCATTGATTCCTACTTATATCACATGACATATCCCCTCCGGCCCTGAACAGCTGCTTACATCCCTCAGAAAGGGAACTGAGGAGGAAAATGAAATATTACCAATTTTCATACTGTATCTTAATTTATCATGCAAACACATATCCGTGTGTGTGGAGAGCTAGAGACACTTATCTTCAGTCTCTTTCTTGGTCTATGTCGGTCTGTGTAGCAAATTTTCAATTTAGCTTCATTAGCATAGCATACTTACAGTGGGGTATAAAAGTTGGGGACAAGAGGTGTTTTTAGGCTTTCATCAGTACTGGGGCACAGGCTTAGATACTAATATGTATATACTCTTTTTAAATACGGTTTTAGATATAAATACAAAGTTCTGTCATGAAGCTCTAGATGGCGCAGGCTTTCAACTCACTCTGATATAATCACATCATTACTCACATCATTACTCGCATCACGCAGTTGATTGGTTTCTTTCACATCAGCAGCTAATGAGCTTGCTGCTCAACATTCAAACACTTGCTGTAACAGTTGCAGCGAACTTCAGAAAGCATCCACCTTCCCCAGCTCCACCTGTATAGATCTACTGCTGTCGCTTGCTCTACCTCTGCAGCACTTCTATTCCGCCAAGACCAAAAACATTAACATTGTCATGTACATTATCATGCTAAACTCTCCGAGAGTTGTCATGACTGAATTTAATATAAATTGTCTTTACCTGCAGCATAGAGACATCCACAAACTGCACACGCTGTTTCGTCTTTGACAAACGATAGAAGGCATTTGCAAGTTTTCTTTTCTTCAATGGATTTAATATTTAATAATTTCAACCCCATCCAGCAACCCCATTGTTTTTTATCTTATAAAATATCCTGTTACTATTTTGGTGTGAGAAGCCACTGAATAAGATTCAGTGCGTGAGTAAACTGTCCGAATGAATCGTGAACAATTTCAGACCTTTTTGCACACCCATTTGACCAAGTGGATCAAAAGAGTGATTCATTCACAAATCTGGAATCACTCGTTCTCATTCTAAACAGCTGTTGCAATTCAGAACACTAATGACTTGATTGGTGAAATATTATCAGAGAAAATGATTATCAGGTTAGTATATGTCAATCCCACGGACACTAGGATTTATCAGTTATATTTTACTGGGACACAGTGATATTTTAGTGGGGCTTGTTCCCCAGTAAAAAGGGTCTAGTGACACCCATGGTTGAAGACCATTAGTTTTTTCTTTCTTTCTTTCTTTCTTTCTTTAAAACAAAAGTTTTCATTATAAATTAGTGAAATGTTGGTTATTTTGCTTTAATGCCGTCAGCACTTGAGCTGACAATCTGGTCACAAATTTGCTTATTTGACTAGTAACCTAAAGGGACAGTGCAGAGTTAATCATTTTACATCATCATCATCATCATCATCATCATCATCATCATTATCATCATAATCATCATCATCATTTTTTTTTTTTTAATAATTGAATCATTCAAAAAGTAATGCCTGTTACCATGGTGCCCAATACAATTAAATCAAATGGAATTTGAATGAAACCTTAATGAATAACAGACAAAACAGTTCTTCAGAAGAAAAGAAATAGAGTAACAACTGTGTGTGTGTGTGTGTGTGTGTGTGTGTGTGAGAGAGAGAGAGAGAGAGAGAGAGAGGGAGAAGTTACACACACCTGCAGAGATCCTGTCATTTCTGTAAATGAGGCAGAAGGAAAGGTTTTTTATGCTGTTTATTAACCTTTAAGCCAAAGATAAAAAGGTTACCATGTTTCTCATTCCCCATCCTGTGTTCTTTTTGTCTTAATCTAACACATCATTAAAATCCTGTTAACATTAGTTAATGCACTGTGAACTAAAATGAACTAACAATGAACATCTGTATTTTTATTAACTAACGTTAACGAAGATTAGTAAATACAGTAACAAATGTATTGCTAATGGTTAGTTCATGTTAGTTTATACATTAACTAATGTTTAACTAATGAACCTTATTGTAAAGTGTTACCAAAAATTCTAATGCACATTTATGTAATATATTGTTTTATATAATAATCATTATGCTATGTACATTAATAGACTAATGAAGTATTAATTGGCAGAATCATTATTTATAGTGATCATAATTAGTATTAAATAATTTTTATTATACTGTATGTTGGTAGCTGCAATTTCATTAATTCATCACAATTAATTGCATATAACAAACATTGGCTGAGAAAAGCCCTAAAATAAAGATAGTAAAAAAAAAAATTATAGTGTATATATTTTTTAAATTAATTGTACTAAATTAGCATGCATATTTTTAATATATGCTTTGCATTTTTTGAAGTTAATCGTGTTTTTTCCCTTAAGTATCTAATTTATGTCTCTGATTGATACGTGTCAAAGGAGAAGGTGATATTTTGGATCAGGCCAGAGTCTGAGGGGTAAAGAGACGGTGAAGAAGAGCTGTCAGGCAGACAAAGAAAGAAAAGAAGCAGGACCCTCTTAAGAACCTGATTGAGAACAGGAGAAAATCAATCAATTGAGCCCCTGTGATTGACAGGCTGGCAAGGTGTTTTCTGCAGAGGTGTCAAATGCTGCACAATTGCGATTTCTCTCCCCCTCCCTTGCTCTCTCCATCTCTTTAGTGTCCGTCACCCTTTTATTCACATATCATCATTCCATCCATCTCACCCAAATTACTCTTCTATCTCCTCCACAATGTCTCCACTCTCTGCACTTCTCTCCATCCACCCTTTGCAATCTCTCTCCTCTCTTGTTTCTGGAGGAAGACTCTTGCATTTAGGAGTGCTGACTGACACTCCTTTAATCTTGTTGCTCTGCAACCTTCATGGGAGAGGAAGGGATGCGTTCTTCACACATACGCACGAACAAAGCAGCACTCCTCCCCTCCTTTCTGCTCTCCGAGCCTATTTGTTTTCTGTAATATCATGCCGCACTGAGAAACAGAGACAGGAAATGGCAACGTATCTTGAGATTCTGCCCTTAATCTTGAAATAACACCTACAGAAATGTGATGGAAGATATGGACATTTTAATTTAACATATTCCACTTCCAACTTTCCTTCT